AATACTAGTACATTTCAATGCCTTTTGCTACATTAACAAGAAATCACGTACAATTGCTGTGCACCAAAACTTAGCTTAATTCGATCTTTCAAGTAACATGCAATTTCAACTCACAAGTCTTCAAGTACTGCTAGTAAGTGTTCCCTTGTAAGCAGAGCACTATATCTTGATCCTGAATTGAAATCATCGTTAAGATTATATTTTTCCCTTCTACATGAAGTGCTTTTTCTTTAAACTGCTTTCCCCATATGTTGAGATCAATAATAACAAAAAGGATATTTTAGAGTTTTAAAATATTTTTCTTACTATTTAATTGTATAGGATATGTAAAGTAACTATTGATAGTTATGTACTTATTGTCATTTAAATTGTTTTCGCTCTAACTTTATAAGTGGTCTACTAACTTTACTACATGTTTGCCTTTACTAATGAGATTTTATTTCATATATTTTCTTTTTTCTAGTTTTGTCATTTTCTTTTCCACTTAAAGAATACCCTTTAACATTTCTTGTAATGCCAGTTTAATATTAATGAACTCCTTTAGCCTTTGCTTATCTGGGAAACCCTTGATCTCTCCTTCAACCTTGCTGGGTAGAATATTCTTAGTTGTAGAGTTTTCCCTTTCATCATGCCACTCCCTTATGGCTTACAAAATTTCTGTTGAAAATCAACTGATAGTCTTATGGTCATTACCTTATATGTAACTAGTTGTTTTTCTCTTGCTACTTTTAAGATTCTCTCTTTATCTTTAACTTTTAACATTTTAATTATGATGTGTCCTGGTGTGGGTATCTTTGGATTGATCTTATTTGGGATCTCTATGCTTCCTGGATATGGATATCTGTTTCCTTCACGAGATTAAGAAAGTTTTCAGCCATTATTTTTTCAAAAAGCGTTCCATCCCTTTCTCTATCTCTTCTATTTCTGGGACCCCTGTGATGCAAATGTGAATATACTTGATGTTGTACCAGAGGTCCCTTATGCTCTCCTTATTCTTTTAAATTATTTCTTCTTGATCTTCCAATTGGGTCATTTCCACTATCCTGTCTCCCTCATTGCTAGTCCATTCTTCTGCATCTTCTGATCTGTTGATTCCCTCTAGTGTATTTTTCATTTCAATTATTATATTCTTCAGTTATAATAGGTTCTTTTTGTAATTTATGTCTTTGTTGAAGTTCTCACTGAGTTTATTCACTTGTCTGCAGAATTTGATGAGCATCTTTATGACTATTATTTGATCTCTTTACCTAGTAGACAGCTTAGCTCCATTTTGTTTAGGGGTTTTTTTCTGGGAATTTGTCTTGTGTTGTTTTTGTTTGGAACATATCATTTTGTCTCCTCATTTTGCCTTTTTGTTTCTATGTATTAGGTATATCAGCTATGTCTGCTGGTCTTGAAAAAGTACCCTTATTTAGAAGGTGTTCTGTGGGTTCCCGTGTTGGAATCCCCCCTTGCCAGATGCTCAAGAAGTGTTTCCTGTATGGACTAGTGTGGTCTTCTGTTGTGGTTGGGCCACAACTGCTATGAACACACTGGCAGGCAAGGCTGGTCTCTGGCCAGGCTGGCTGTGAGGCACTGGCTGCAAGGTCCAACCTCAGCTTATTACAAACACACTGCTGTGTGCTGTTGCTCCTGAGGCTGCCCACCAGGTGTGGCAGGTTAGAAACCACTTGGAGGGGTGCCAGCCTGGGTGGGTCCTCAGGGAAACACCAAGGTAGGGTGAACAGTGTTAGCAAGGTTAATGGAGAGTGACAGAAATGGCATCTTCCAGCATCCGACCAGGCAGAAGGAAGGAGAGTAATAAAGGGGAAAGACATGGTGCCCACCAGCACTTCAGACTCTGCAAAAAGTTCTGACAGATCCCTCTCCCTCCAGCAGATGCCCTAAAATTAGTCAATGTATTACCTTCACATATGACCCAGGTGCTTTTCAAACTGCTGCCTCTGCACTGGGACTCGGAAAAAGTGCAGCCTTGTTTTCCTACAACCCTTTGACTCCCAGACCTAGGCCTTGCTGTTTTTCAAAGTCAGATGTTATACAGGCTCCTCTTCCTGATACAGGATCCCTAGGCTGGAGTTCGGACCCCTCCCTCTTCAGGGGAGACCTCTGCAGTTGTGATCTCTCTCCTACTTGTGAGTCACTGCATGGGGAGTAGGGGGTAAGGTGAGTCTCTGCCCCTTCTATCCCTCTCAGTATGGCTTTTTTTTTTTAAATCCATAGTTGTAGAAAATCTATTCTGCTAGTAGTTAGGTCATTCTCAGAGATAACTGTTCTACATGTAGTTGTAATTTTGGTGTCTATGAGAGAAAGTGAGCTCAGGATTTCCCTAATTCACCATCTTTAACCAAAGCCAGGAGCCTTGCTCTTAAATGCCAATTTAACTTGTCTATGAAATGTCGTTCCTTCTGGTTGGTGCACAGTCCCTGCACCTACTTTGTATTTTCTTTCTTTTGTATTTCAACTGTAACAAGTTTCAGACATCATCCAGAGATGACCAGAAGTATAAGATACCAGAAAATAATACTCAGTTTTAAAAAGGGAATATTGTGAATTTATTCTAGTATCTCAGTTTTATCATCTTCCATCCAATTCTGTATGCTTTCTTTGAAAACACTTAAAATGCACTGTAAATCCTATCCCCTCACTTAACTACCTATTATTTCATTATATCAATTTTGCAGACAAATAACTGATTCTCCAGTAATCTCTAATTGTTCTGTTATTTCTGGAACTGTTTACAGCAAAGTAGCAGAGAGGAGTATGAATGGCAAAGAAAATACCTTAATAACAGAGGAATCTTACTTAGTTGGTAGCCAGTACCTTTTTCTGAAAAAAAATTACATAGCCATAGTTTTCTTTCTGAAACAAGTTATCTGATTAATGGAGTAAAAGAACTGCAAGCCATGACCTTTATAAAATTACTAGAGGCCCGGTGCACGAATTTGTGCACCAGTGGGGTCCCTTGGCCTGGCCTGTGGGACCCGGCCGAAACCGACTCTCCAAGGGGTCCCAGATTGCAAGAGGGTGCAGGGTGGGCCAAGGGACCCCACCAGTGCATGATCAGGGCCGGGGAGGGACGCAGGTGGTTGGCCAAACGGGGAGGGACTGCTGGAGAGCTCCAGGGCTTGTCCGGCCCATCTCACTCAGTCCTGATTGGCCAGACCCCCAGCAGCAAACTAACCTACTGGTCGGAGTATCTGTCCCCTGGTGGTCAGTACATGTCATAGCGAGCAGTTGAGTGGCCTTAGCATATCATTAGCATATTAGGCTTTGATTGGTTGAACAGACGACCAGTCAACTGGACACTTAGCATATTAGGCTTTTATTATATAGGATAATAGCTTCAATAACCATGTGTTAATTAGATCAGAAAATTAATCTATATTAGCATTCAAAAGCAATTTTCTTCTTTGTTTTCTTTTTCAATAGCAATTTTCCAAGCTCTGCTGGTGACTAAGGATGAAAGTGGGTTGCTATGTAACCTGACATCTAATTAAGTTAAATTAGTGCCATATCTGAATGGAAGGCTCCCAGTGACACTAAATAAGACAAAGTTTTCCTCCAGCTATTGTAAGGGCCAGTCAGTTGCAAAGCTACTACTTTTTCAACACAAAGCAAAAGGTCCAGCCACATAGTATCACTAATGAGACTGAAGAAACTAGAGGTTATTGTTTGGGAGAACTGAGATATGAAGCCTTGGGTATTGGCCATATTAACAACCTGAGCATCTAAATGTGCAGGCTTGCTGTCCGCCTCCTAAGATAATATTCCAGATTTTCTCACTTCAAATATATACTTTGTTCATTTTGTAACATTTCTAAAATCAGAGTGCATCTTAAAATTATCCATAAATTAAAGTTTGTCTGTTGTGTGTGTGTATGTGAGGACCCCCTACTTTTAAGTATTTTATACTCTAAAAAATCCAAATCCATGTTCACATTATAAACTAATTTCATCTATATGAGCATCTAGGAGTAATAATATGAGACCAACTAGGGGCAAAGTAAGTGCTCTCTCAATATCATATATAATAAAGAAAGAAAAGAAAATCTTGTTTATTGTACATTTATCTATATCAACTGAGTATTCATTATCTCAATCCTAACAACTACTATAATAAGGTAGTTATTACTATACAGGGTGGGCAAAAGTAGGTTTACAGTTGTGAGTACATAAGAAAGTTTATTCTTGTATTATTATTTATTAATTACTGTATTATTTATTTATATTATAACTGTAAACCTACTTTCACCTGCCCAAAAATATTATAAATGAGAAAATTAAGGCATAATATGTTTGGGCAACTTGAAGTTGAACCTTATCTGAATACCAACCTCTTTATGCTATTCCAATACTGCCTCATTGGAAAATAGACTAAGCGTTTTATAATTTTCTTATATGCATATAATAGTAGATATTAAATTTCTAAAGGTGATTCAAAGTCATGGAATTGTGAGTATGTGTTGTTAAGTATTACTTATTTAAGTTTGCTAATAAAGAGACAAGGCATCTGTCTCCTCCTTCAAATAAGCTTAACTTCTCAGGTATTGATTCCACTTCAGAAAAGAGATTAAAAAAAACTTGAAAGAAAAGATATAAATGATCATTCTCTTCAGACTTGAGAATATCATATCACAGAGTCTCTACCTCAAACAAATTGGAAAATAATATTGGGAGTTAAAATTAAAGTTGTTTTATTTAGTTTGCATCAGTAAGCAACCACTGGGAAGGCCAGCATCTCCAGAGCACTATTGTCAAATTGTAGCCAAAGTTGGTGCAATATTGTTTAGCCACCATTTAAATTTCTGCAGGACCATTTTTTTATCCTCCTATACTTTCAATATTTATTCAAAGATCCTTTGGGCATATATTTTCTATATGCCAAATACTGTTGTAGGTGCAAGATATACTAAACTCTGTTTACTAGGTCTATTTTTCCATTAACAATAGGCAACATTATCCTAAGAGAATAATTTGTGGTGGTTTTTTTGGCCTTGTAGCTGCTAAATCCTGAAGATGACCTCTTACCAGGAAAGATTCGAGACAGCAATCGTTCAACCCTCTTAGCCACGATTCAGGAACATGGTTACCCCACAATCAACTTGGGAATTGTGGGAGACAAGTAAGTATTGGATTTTATTTCTAAGTTGTTATACAAATATGAATTTTAGGAGTACTAACTATATGGGGTTGTTGCTAAAACAACAGAAATTAAATACCATAATTTTCACATATTTCATTCTTCAGAAGCCCAAGAATTATGGAAGTATCTATGTCCATTGGGGACAGACATTTTCCTGAAATGCCTATTACAACAGGAGAAATATTTTGCTGTCCTATGGGTTTATTAAATTTACAGGGATCTTTTTTGATAGTGTTGTCTTTATCCTAGTTGAAGTAATGGTGATAGTGTTTTATTCCTATTCATACTTGTACTTGTTTCAAGAAAGACAGGGAAGACATAGCATAAGTGAGAAGAGTAAGAGAGAATGTCAAAATTAGCACTAACTGATTTTTTGAAGTTTAAGTACAATTGTTTTCTAGGGCCTCTATATTTATTTTGGCATCCTTATGTAACCCGAGTTTCTCCAGATTTCACCAACTTAAGAATTCAGAAGGAGGCATGCTGACTATAATTGCCCATCTCTAACAGCATATTTACTAAATTAACTCAGCCCTCTACTAAATTTCCCAAAGTAATCGAGTGACTCTCCAGCTGTATCTTACACATGACCTAAAGCAAGCCTGCTTTCTGAGCATCTCACTACCATGCAACACTGCTACTCAGCCATCTTTCACCAGGCACTATTTCCCGTTCTCCAAAGGTGTGCCTGCTTTTAGTAATTCTGAAATATCAGCCTTATGGAGACAAGCTAGTAGCTGAACCTGAGTGGTGGATACCAGTATGTTTCTGTCAACCATAATATCCTTCTCTCTCATTACCACCTGGTCACTGAGTAAAGCTCATTATACCATGATCCTTCATCCCTTAAAATGAGTGTTTTCTCAAAAATCAAATGTGCTTTTAGAAGGGCTCTCCATTTCATAAGTTAATGCTCTCACACCTGTAAACCCCACCTTAGACTTAAACTGGACACAACACATCAAAACTTAGACACAGGATCTTGCCAGTAACCTGAGAAGCAGTAGCTTTTATGTCATCTGACCTTTTAAAGTTCTCTTCTTTCTTCCTGATTTTATGTCTTTCTCTGAGGACATTTTTTGTAGAGGCTGTTAGACATATTTCATACATCATTCTTTTTAGATTCTTCACCACTTGTGTTTGCCTGGATGTTTAGTTCTAGAGAAGCCTATAGCTAAGTGGCCAGCCCCCATGGAACCCCTGGTGAAGCCAGTGTCACAGGTTACCTAATATCACCCCGATCCAGGATCCCGAGCCCTGGGGAAGTAGAAAGAAAGGGGGGATGAAAGGTGGGTAGTTGTTTGCATTTTAACCTGACCAGTAACCTGTCCTTCCATGTAAACTTCAAGCACCTGAAAATCCTGATACAGATACAGCTTTTAAAAAGACAAAAATTCACTTCTGAGAAAAGATAATACAACTCCAAGAGTTCCAAAAACACAGAGCAGACCTGAAACTGTATAGAACAAACCTACCAGGTTGTTTAGGTTTTGTTTCCTACCTATCACTGGCTCTGGCCCTGCCTCTAAGCGCGTTAATGAGCTCTAAGAAATAAGATAAAAGGAGCTCTCTTTTTTTTGTCATTTTAACCTTAATCTGTTCTGAACTATAATTTTGTCCATTTTTTCTTATGTTGGTACTTTTGTATACAAATAAATGTTACTTGCCTAGTCGGAGTGCTCAGTGATTGGGTGCCGATCCAGGCACCAAGAGGTCGTCAGTTTAATTCCGGTCAGAGCACATGCCAGGGTTGTGGGCTCAGTTCCTGGTAGGGGGTATGCAGAAGGCAGCTAATGGATGTTTTGCTCTCACATTGATGTTTCTCTCTCTAAAAATCAATTTTTAAAAAAATCTTTAAAAAAAAAGAAAGGAAATTAACACCTAATTCCATTACGCAGTATTACCCTTATTTAATTCTTTAATTCTATGCATGTATACTATTTATGTGTGTATGCATGTGCAAGAAATCATATTCTTTTTTTAAAATATATTTTATTGATTTTTTTACAGAGAGGAAGGAAGAGAGATAGAGAGTTAGAAACATCAATGAGAGAGAAACATCGATCAGCTGCCTCCTGCACATCTCCCACTGGGGATGTGCCCACAACCCAGGTACATGGCCTTGACCGGAATCGAACCTGGGACCCTTCAGTCCGCAAGCCGACGCTCTATCCACTGAGCCAAACCGGTTTCGGCAGAAATCATATTCTTATTTTAACCTTCCTTTTCTTACTCAATATATTATAAACATCTGTTCATATCATTACATAGTTCTCTGCTATATCATTTTTTATTTATTTTTGCTATATCATTTTAATGCCTACATGTTATTCTCTAGTATAAAGTATAATAATATTTATATCCCTTGTTGCCATAGATTAGGTTGTTTTTAATCTTTCTCAATTGTAAATAAATGACTAACATCCTTATTACTAAATCTTGGCATATACCCACAATTATTTGAGAGTGTTTTAAAGTTTTTATTTTATTCATGTTATGATAATTGTTGAATGTCTTCCGTATTCAAAGCTATGTTAATAGCAGAGGTAAAATGATAAATAAAACAACTGAGGACATATGGGTAGGTAAATAAGTAGAGATTACTTTCTACAGGTGCTAATCGAGACAACTGTGACCAGACTTGGTTATGTTATTGGTCATTTGGGCACATACGTAATTCTCTTGTTTTTGCATTTTTTTCTTTTCCCTCAGTTTCCTGATAAATTTTCTTAAATAAATTGCTATCTTTTGTGGTCTAAACAGGGTGCTTTCTTTCCCACCAGATTATAAGTTCCATGATATAAAAGGTGTGTCTTGGTAACTCTATGTCCACAGCACTTAGTAAGAGTACATCTCCTACATTCGACAGTCCTGCCATCTTTCCCGATACCACCTCATCTTTCCATGGAACGTACAAACTTCCAACCATGCAATTGTCCAGAAGAATCTTACAGGGTCCCTTAAAATGAGTCCAAAAACCTTAGCCATAGGAGCAGACCAGAAAGTATGGCACTGACAGCATAATTGCATTGGTGACTAAGACACATCCTCATAAAAGGTACAATGTTAAGGTTTGTACCTGGAGTGATTCATTTTATGTTTCTGAAGAAAAAAAAAAAAAGTATAAGATGGGGGTGTGGGCATAATTCCAAATGGATTTTAAAAGCTTCTAATTTAAAAAGTTGGGGAGCTATTCCCTCAGACTTAAGTAGATGATCTTATACATTTCCTTCTTAAATATAACAGTAATCATAATCCATATACACAGAATCCACTTGGGGAAATCTCTTTTTTTTTTATCTTAACCCAAGGATATGTTTTTATTTTAGAGAGAGAAGGAAGGGCAGAAAGGACAGGGAGAGAGAGAGAGACAGAGGCAGAGGGAGAGAAACATCGATGTGAGAGAGAAACGTCGAGATTGGTTGCCTCCCATACACACCTCACCCGGGGATTGCACCCACAACCTAGATATGTGCCCTAACTGGGAATCGAACCTGAAACATTTTGGTTTATGGACAACAGTCCAACCAACTAAGCCACCCTACCAGAGCTGGGGAAACCTTTTAAAGTAAACTTTGCCATTAATTGAATTTATATTATTCCTAAAACTGATTTACTGAGCTGTTTATATTTCTACCTCAGCTAAAAGCAGCTTGGTAATATAGCTTCCAAACCGTTGACTTGAACCTTCTAGCCTTTCAAGGCTTAAAGGGCTGAGAAATTCCCATATTAAGAAAAGGGTTCCCCACTCCGGAACATTGCCATCACAGAAGCTTGCCCCACTCTAGACATGCTGTGCTTGCTTGGCTCTGTCCTAGATGGTGTTTTGGATTTGAATTGCCTATTCCT